CCGTGGGATGGGATTTGTATGTTTTACCGTTGAATTCAATTTAGTGATTGGGCATAACTTATATTTACTAGATTAGACTACTTATTGGTCTAATTTGTTTATTATGCGCTTTTCTGGATTGTTACTTTGAATTCATAGTATGTGCTTATGCTTTTTATGTTTGCACGGGCAGTGCGATCGTTTGGAACTGAAGGAAGGAAAAAGGATGGCCCCCAAGTACCCCCAAGTGATAAAGTTTATGAGTACATATTGTTCCGTGGAAGTGACATTAAGGTATTACGTTTTTTATGCTTAAAGATTTTATTCTTCACTTACACGGTAATTAAATTCATCTAGATGTTTATATATTTACTGTAACTAATGAAATGTCATTTCTGCTTGCTTATGTAGGATTTACAGGTTAAATCTTCACCACCTGCACAACCTGCGCCTCCCATAAACAATGATCCCGCAATTATCCAGGTTAAGAACTAAAAGATGAAATATTAATTCGAAGTTTGACATATCAAATCCTGAAGCTTTTCATACCCTGCAGTCTCACTTTCCACCCCCAGTTTCCACAATTGCAAGCATGCCATCTGCTGCTACTGGACCATTGACCGATCTTACTCCACACACTACTCAAATAGGATTAGCGGGGTCAAATTTTCAAGCGGCACTACCCCTATATCAACCTGGAGGAAACATGGGGTCATGGGGGGCATCACCTCCACCTCCCGCCGTTAATGGTGGTGGGCTTGCTATGCCAATGTATTGGCAAGGATACTATGCCCCCCCAAATGGGCTTCCACATTTGCATCAGCAATCTTTGCTTCGGCCGTCTCCAGGACTGTTAATGCCTCCTTCCATGCAGCAACCATTGCAATATCCTAATTTTAATGCTCCTTTGCCTGCTGGCCCTGCTAACTTGCATAGTTCAAGCTTGCCTGAAATTCCTTCTCCTTTACTTCCTTCTAGTACAAGTGCCCTTCCTTTAGTTTCTTCTTTATCATCCTCTACTTTGCCATCTGCTCTGCATCTTGCACCTTCTGCTCCACTTGCATCAGAACCCTTGCCTGCTTCATTGCCAAACAAAGCTTTAAGTCCTGCACTTCCTCCAGCTACACTTGGTGCTAGCTTGCCAGCACTTTCTCCTTTGACGAGTTCTGGTCCAGAATTATATTCTATCGTACCATTAATTGCCAACAAACAAAGTGAAACCCTTACTTTGCCGTTTCAAAGTACCTCTCAAGCTGCATCCTCTGTTATTGGGGTTTCAAATTCTATTCGTGTAGAAACATCTGTACCTTCATTGGTAACCCCTGGTCAGTTCTTGCAGTCAGGATCTACTGTTGGTCCTTCATCTCAGCCTGCAGCAACTACACATAAAGATGTGGAAGTGGTCCAAATGTCCTCATCATTATCTCCTAAACCATTAGCACCTGTTGTCTCAGAAGCTCAGCCTCCAATATTGCCATTACCTGTTTCTTCCCATATTGCCCAAAAGGTACTTCAAAGTTTCTATTTTTACAAAGCTTGATTCTGCATATACATTGATTTTTAGGACACATTAGCTTATGTTATGTAACAAATCTTAAGTTATATTTTAGAAGTTAGCATGTTTGCTTCGACCAGCATTTTTTTTTACCCTTTGTGCCTTTTGTGACGCAAGGTTTTAGTGCCCAAAATGCATGGAACACTGGATGCCAAGGATGTCTAATAAGTTTAATGGACATTAACATTTTGCATCTGCCTTTGGCAACATTAGTTGCAGTGAAATGATAAGAATAGTGCGGGTGCTACATTCACCATTATTTCCCCCTTTTTTAATATCATAGTAAGAAATTTGCTTGTCAAGCTACATGTTTATGATGCTGCCCTTACAGTACAAACAACGGTTCTGGTACCTTGACTTATGTTTTGCTGAATTTTGAGTTTTATTTGAAATTTCAAAATTCTTTTTCATGTATTAGTGGTACACGTTTTCATTAGTTCTCTTCTCGGTTGTTGACCATAGGCTATTGGAGAAGGTTGTTACATGATTATGATTTATGAATTGCAAAAATAGGAATTAGAACTGATATGGAAAGTTAAACCAAGCAGGGATTCTTGGAGGTATGTGTTACCCTTGTGGTTTCTCTTGTGGAAGTATGTGTCCCCTTTGTAAGGATTTTTTTCTGTAGATTATGCCTTGTTAGTTAGTACATAGATGGTGGGCATTTTTATTGCGCAAGGGAAATATTTTGCAGGTTTCTTCTCTTCTTTTTCCTCTAAGTAGTGCCAGCCCCTCAAAAGTGAAAACAACATGACAGGCATGAGCTGTACTTCCGTTTTTGTGTTTGCTGTGTTGTTTTGTTTAACATGTTGATTTGCTACAACCGCATATTGAAATGAAGAATATTGTAGTATAGAATTTGCTTTGCATTAAGTTCATAGATGACTTTCATTCATGATAATTTTCTTAACTGAATGTTGGTTGTAAAGGGTCTGACAAGTGTCTTTCAATATTTTTCCCTAGCCAAATGGAGCTTCCTTTCAATCTCGCCATGGTTATAGAGGACATGAAAGAGGCAGAGGAAGGGGAAGAGGAGCTGGGGTAAACTTTATTTACATTTTGTAGTCTAAATTTGAATTTTTATAAATTTGAAAAGGTGATGCAAGCCGAATATTATTGTTGCATTGTTGAAGTTATGTGATTAAATACTAAACCTTTTTATTTGAGTAGGTAATTTATTGTGTAGAACTCACTAGATGGGTTAATTTGTAGGTGTTTTAAGGATGAATTTTTTGGTGTATTAAGTTTCTTTAAGAAAAATTTGAATGAATTTATTGGTGGTTATAATCATTCATCAAGACTGACTATATTATTGATGGTTATGATCTTTTTGGTAGAGTTCACGCCCAGTGACAAAATTTACTGAAGACTTTGATTTTGAAGCAATGAATGAGAAATTTAAGAAAGATGAAGTCTGGGGTCATCTTGGTAACAGTAGCAAATCTCATTCTAAGGATAAAGATGGGGATGCTAGTGACGAAGATGGCTATCTAAATGAAGATGACACTGAGATATCTAAGATTCAAGTGAAGGTTGTACTGCTATCTTGTATCTAACTCATGTATTAATTTGATTAGCATAAAGGGTCCCTACTCACTATCAGTTTGGTGTAACTGTACAGCCTGTCTACAATAAGGATGACTTTTTTGATACTCTCTCTAGTACACGTGCAAATGACTTACAAAACGGAAGGCTGCCGAGATTCTCCGAGCAAATGAAATTAGACACAGAGGTACTGATGCATTTCTTGTTTATTCTTCCCATTAGCTCTCTGTAATGTGGACCTTTTTTTATGTTGTGGTTTTGGTGGTGTAGACTTTTGGTGAATTTTCAAGATACCGAGGTGGACGACGCGGACGTGGACGTGGCGGTCGTTTTCGTGGCGGTTCTTATGGAAGAGGGTATGGTGGATATACGGGGAGGGGCCGTGGATGAGCCATGCCTGTCCTCCATAGTTGTGCTTGATGTTCCAAAATCTTTAAGGCTGTTTGGGAGGAGGTCATGTTTTCTTTTATTTGGAATGTTACAGTGCACAGTAGAACCCATCTCGCCTGGCAAACATCAGACTCATCTAGGGCTATGCTCAGGGTATTCACGCCTTTGGCATTTCCTAGACAAGGTTCAAAGGAATGAGGCAGATTATGCCTTGTTCTAGCGATCATCGACCTTTTTGGGTATGAATCAGTGTGCTCCATGTGTAAACCCCATTTAGATAAACAACAAAAATGCAAACGAATATGTGATTTGTTTCTTAGTTAATATTTTAGAGGATAGCACAATATTATATATATATATATATATATATATATATATATATATATATATCTTTTCGACAAAATATTTCGCACATTATATGAGTTAATATTGTTGGTATATATTAAATCAATCAACGAAAATTCAAAGGTACGTAAAGTTTAAATATCACATTAAATATTTTTATAAAGTAAATATGTCAAATTTGAAATTTTATCAAAGTAGAGGTTTCAAAAAATGACATATCAGTTTTGAATTATAAATTTATTTTTTTCGCCTAAAATTAAATATTATTATAGTTAGATTATTTGATAAATTTAAAATTTAAAAAATTATATAATCAAAATAAATAAAAATATTGAAAATATTTTCCATGGACAACAAGGCATTCTGGCTAATTTCTTTACCCTGCATTTTTGGAAGGGTTTGATATGCATTCTGGATTTGGCGAGGAACTCGTTTTTGAATTGATGTCTGGAATCCAATTTATCGAGTATTATAAATCCGAGGACGAATTTTTCATTTTAATTTTCTTCATTCGTAAACGTCAAAATTCGAACACTTAATCTTATTTAAGAGATCTAGTACCTCATCCGACTAAACTAATTACTCGTTAACTAATTATTTGTTGGTAACTCATTGTGTTTTATGAAATGAACAAAAAGCCTCTTTCTTTTAAGCGTTTTGAGCCATTCAACTTTAACATAATAATTTTGAGCCGACAATGTGTTCAACGCATAAATATTAGAGGTTTAAACGATTCGAGTTCAAATATTATAGAACTTGATTTCCGAAAGTTTGTAAATTTAAAATTATTAAGTTCGGTTTGAACTTATATTCAAAAATTAAAATCATACGTTCGAAAAAATTTAAACTTAAAACATTCTCATTTAACTCGATTGGAGTTTGAACTCAAGATCAATTTAAACTCAAATTTAAACTCGAACTTAAATTTTAAGTACACGAAAATTTTATATTATAATTTAAAAAATTAATATTGTTAATAATTAAATTTTAAATTTTTTAAAAAATAATATATTATTTTTTTCAAATTGCTCTCGCAAGTTCTTCAAATTAATATCAAATAGTTTACTTCAATTATTATGAACTCGAATCAAAATTATTTATTTAAAAAATTGATCAAATTTTAAATCATTTAAATTTAAATAACTCGAACCTGGTGGTTCCAAAAGAGAAACAGTTGAGACGAGTGGTTCAGGGCTGCGGCTGAGCCTGGGAGCAAAGCGTAGACTCCAAAGCTCACATCGTATATATTCCAATTCAATCCAATGCTCTCTGTTGTTATTGATGCTACTTGCTTCATCGTCCCTTTATCCATTTCAGTCCCCAATTTTGTTAATCAAAGGAGGATGGGCTCAACCACCGCATTTCCATCATCTCTCTTCGTCGCACCCCAAACCCCATCCTTTCTTCCTCGCCGTGGCGGCAGCCTCTCCTTCACATCTCCAGCTTCATTTGTCTGTTATCAAAGATCTCCCAACTCTCGAATACTGCGTATCTCCGCTTCTCTGTTGCACCCAGACGCTAGCATTGCTTGGTCCCCTCCCGACCCTAATTTTATACCCAACGACTATGGGGGTTGGGCCGTTGTTCAAGCTCCTCCAACTCCCAGAACAAGGAAAAAAGGTTTCTTTCTTGAAGAATTCTTCTTTGAATAAGAGTTGGGTCGAATTAGAAATGCTTTTTTGTTGTTGTTGCTGTTCTGCAGGATTTTCTTCTATTTTAGTTGGGTGTGCTATTGGGTCTTCACTTGCTATTGCAATTTCCATTGCATACTTTTTATTCTACAGAAAAGGTGGGTTCTTTCTTTAATCAAGATTTCCTTTACTTGCAAGAATGAACACAAATTACACAATGGGTTTTTATGAACTCATGTTTAGTGCATTTCAATTGAGATTTGCAGGGTTTGAAATTGAGCTTAGGAGTCCATTGAATACTTTTCACGGGGTCTTTGGCTGTAGGGAGGCGAAAAGTGACCATACCGAAGCTAGGGACTATCTTGAATCTGATGAACAGGCTGCTGAGGCAGTACCCGACTATGTACGTCTTGCTGTTACCGAAATTGTTCCTTCAGGTGCGGCAGTCAATTAGTCAATTATATAGATCCCTTCAGTTCTCTGTTTTTCTTTATGTTTCAACATTTTAGATTGCCTTTTGGTGGACGGACAGAACAAGGTAAACTATTACAACCAGAACTTCTAACTTTAGTGTGTTCTTGAGGCCATAATTTCGAACAATAGTATAATGTGTAATCTATTTGATTTGTGCACCGAATTCTTTAGAAAGTTTGATTGTTCTTCCTTGACACTTTCAGCACCTAGTCATAAGTATGAGCGCATTGTGGTATCTGTTGCTGTTGATTCCACTCAGCAGGAAGCTTTGTTGGTTTTAAAGAAGCTGAAGGTTTGTTTCTTGAAGCTTCTTTTTATGTAAAATCATCTCTGGTCTTTTTCAAATGAACTGCATATGATTGTATCGTGTAATTAAGGCTTGCAGATAATTGAAGTTGATGTAAGACCTGATGAATTATGCACAAGAAGGGAGTATGCTAGATGGCTTGTTCGAACGAGTTTGTTTTTGGAAAGGTAGTAGTTGTCCTGTACTTATCTTTGGGAAATGGTTTGAAATTGAAAATAGGAAGCTCTGAGAATATTCTTTTGCATGATCTGATCTGATTTGGGAACCTATTATCTTGTAGGAATCCTAGGCATAGGATTGTTCCATCCATTGCACTCTCTGGTTCAGAAACTGCAGCCTTTGATGATGTTGGTGCCGATGACCCAGATTTTGAGTCCATTCAAGGTAAAGCTCAATTTGACGTTTCCACGTAAAAAACAAAGAAAAAAGGGATGAAAAATAAGAGTTGTTCTCCTTGGAACTTTGGATTTAGCTTTGGCAGAGGCAGGCATCATCCCCAGCAAGCTTTCAGGCGGGAACACTGCTTCTGATGGTTCACAAGGAGGAGTCTTCTTTCCTGACCGGTAAAGCTGCACAGTCATTCACAAATTTCATCAATTATTGAAAAGTACTTCTTGACTCAGCGAAGTATGCCTGTTCTTCTAGATTTATTTCTCGAGAGGATCTTATAAACTGGAAAGCCTCAGTAGAGTATGACTTTGAGCCAGGAGTAATGGAGCAGGTACAATTAATCTCCCTGACCATCTCCTAAAATTTCTTTTATGTGCTTCGGAACTGTTAGACTGATGCTTCACCAATCTTTTCATAGCTCTTAAAACCTAACTTGTGTACAGTCCAGATATCAAGGACAAAGGTAGATTTTATGGATTTGAAGGAGATCAGTCCAGATTTGTCACCTGGACTTTTTATAGACATGTTGGATGGAGAAAATAGCATACTCAGAAAAGTTTTTGGTACAATTCTTATCTTGGTTTGTTACTTACATTCATTCGCAATACCTTTGACTTTTCTTCTTCCTTTCAAGTAAGTATTTAATATGTAAATGGTAGGAATTCTCTTGAGTAATATCACTTTTCTAGATAGCACTGAAAACTGACTACCATGTCATATACAAGAGGATACCATTAGGAATCATGAGTGGTTTTTGCCAAGAAAGTGCGAAGAGCTGATGCTAAACTAAGGCAAAGATATGAATGGGCAGAGTTATTCTTTGTGCTATTTTTCGGTCTAAGATGACAAATCAAGCACTGCATTCACTTACTGTGCTTCATACAAATCTATATCTAAATTTTGTAGGACAAAGCAAGCGTTTTCAACCAATTAAACCTTCATCAAAAGCACAAGCAGCAGTGGCTTTGACAAGTGGCAGGATGACAGAAGCAATTTCCAATGAGTTGGTGAAGCTGGAAATGGAGAGTTCTTCAAAAGGAGCTGAAATGAAAGAAATCAAGTCCGAGTTGCTTGAAAAGGGAGAAATACAGAGTTTTTGGAATGAAAAGCTGGATGAAGAAAGAGCCAGAGGTTCTGAAGTGGAGAAGCTTTACCTTTTGGCAGTTCAGGACCTGGGACAGGAGAAGATTGTTCAGGAGAAATATGCTGTTGAGTCTTTGAAGGAAAAGGCAGCAATGGACTGCCAGAGGCAACTGGTTTCTAGTCTCAAAGAAGAGGTTGCGGTGATGTCAAGAAGGCTTGCATCTAAGAGGACTATGTATGTTACTGAGCGGAGTAAGTTGCAAGATATGCACAATGGTTTACAATCCAAATTAGAAGGAATACTTGATGCAAAATACATTTTGGAAGCTGAGATAGAAGCTATCAAGATTCTCAAGTGAGTGCTGAATTTGCTTACCCCCTCCACTCTTTTCCATACGTTAATGCTAGTGTCACAAAAGCTGGTTTACTCGACTCAGTAGGCTTATCCTATAGTAATGCAAAATAAATACTTGGAAGGACTCCTTGGTTCCTGACCTATCTCACTAATTGTATTTTAGAATGTACTGATACATAGTTGTAATTAAGAAAAACAATGAATTCAATTGCAGATCCTGGGTAGAGGATGAAGCAAGAAAAAGCCAAGGCCGAGCTAAGGTCCTTGAGGAGGTGGGACGAAGATGGAAATGGTTAGACCAAGCTTGATTGTAAAAAAAAAGTACATTCAGCACTGACAGCTTGAAAATGTTAGAACGTAGGAAGACTAAATAAGAAATTCCGTGGAGTGATGAAATGCAACATGAGAAAATCTTTATTGATTTTGTGAGCTGTGGTCAGAGTTTTGATAGTTGGATTTTATCTTCTTCTCATTTTTCATGTTCTTACATTTTCATATTGGTTAACTGTTGAAGAACTAAATGGGATGAAAGAATTCGGGAATCAACATCTTTCATGTGTGCATTCATACCGCATCCTGTCTTATTTTCATTGATTTTCATAAAAAAAAAAACATTTTTTATACTGTTACTTGCAAGAACGGATACAATTACATTGCGTAATCAGATCAACAAGTTAATACCCTCTGTTAACCCGACTACCGATAGGTTCATACCCTCCGACTATGTAAATATTGACGAAGAATAAAACTTCACTTCTCTCCAACCTTAAGCTATTCTGTTAATTGCTTGTTTGCCAGTAACAGTAACAGCTTGGAACCGGGTATGTTATCTCTGCTCTATATTTTAGTTGCTGTTTAATTTTATCTTTACTGTTCAATGTTATTCAAACTACGAGTCCGCAGTAAAAATCATGGATTTATTTATGTGCATAACAAATACCCACTTCACTGAAAAGAAAAAAAAAACAAAAACCAATTCCGAGGCCTAGAAAATTTCAATCCTCCAAAGTTGAGGGCCGTGAGGAGTCACAGGAGAGCTATGAGCCACCTGCTGTTTTGGATAATATATTGATTAGTGTAGACATTCGTTTTTGTTCGGGTCTACAAAAATATTTTATTATATTATTTATTATTATTAATTTATATATTATAATTAATTTTTTCAGGTCCCTCATTTCCAACGAACAACCTACTATCCCATTTACATTTTCTCACGAACAACTACCCACTCCTATGGTGCCGACCACTTCCCCCTCAAACTCACGCAATGTGCTCTCCACTTTCAAATCTAGCATTTTTTTAATTTAAAAAGGGGGCAGAAACGAAAAACACACTGGGGGGTTGCCTCTCTTCTTCTCTATTGTAGCTTTCTGCTTTGCTTCTGTGGATTAAAAATGGTCGGAAAAAAACAAGGGGAAAGATAGCACTGCGTCATGGAATCCAAGGTTCTTCAGACTAGTCAATATTTTCCATTTCCTCTCGTTGCTTTCTCTTTAGATTTGTAGAAGCTTTTAAACGGGGGGACTACGATATTACAACGGCTAAACCTTCATGGCAAAACTCTCTGGTTCTAGTGAGGGTTGAAGTTTTGTCAAATCAATGGAAATCCTCCCCATTTTCTAGGAGAAGCAATTTTCATTTGGGGCACCAGGGGGAGCCACTGTGGAAAACTCCAAGTTAGAGATGTTGCAACCCCCGAGCCAAAGTGCTCGATTCCAAAACAAGATGGACTCGACAATAAATTACAGCTCGTTGGAGATTCAAGCCCTTCACCTACTCAGCCCGAACCTTTGCAGACTGGAGACTCGGATGATGAATAAGACGATGAAGGCGAGGATAAGGGCTACGATGAGAATCAGGAATTTGATGAATTTGAATGGAACGATGTGGGTCTTTTGCCTCTGCAGAGTACGATGAAGAGGATAAAGAAGCTGACGCTGTTTGGGAAGCCCTTGATAAGAGGATGGACTCGAGGAGAAAAGATCGAAGGGAGGCGAGACTGGAGGAAGAAATTGAGAAATACCGAGCTATCCATTATATCTCTGATTTCATATTCTCTTTAAATTAATATTCTCATTTCCCTTTTATTCATGGTTCAATGACAGATCTCATTCTCCAAAAGTTTAAGTTCTCTTTTATTGCAGAGGAGGACGCAACTGTGATAACATTGGGGGGATTCATTATCAGTATCGAAGACCAGCAAAGACCAAAAATCAAAGAGCAGAAAGCGATCAATCTGAGAGATCAAAGAGAGACGCAAAAACAAAAAATATAGGAGCAACAGAAGGAAAGACAGTTCATTCACCTGCACTCGTGTATTTCTTTATGTTATCGCTTTTCTCGCTTTGTCCTACTTTTGTTATCTTACTATGGTATACAATGGTACATGCTGGTGGATCCATCGTTCAAACATGGAATTTTCTCAAGAAGCAGGGTTTGCGGAGTTTTCTAGAAATATGGCCAAGATCCAGTGCCATTGCTCGGAAAATAATTTTTGTTTACGGAAAGTTTGAAGCAGCACTTTAATTGATTCTCCCTGGAAGGAGGGTCGAGGGCCCAATATCACCCACTGGCCACCGACCTGTGTACAAGGCTAATGATTCGGGATGATGTCATGGGCTGTTCTCGTTGTCACTTATCGCATAAAACAGTATGAAGCCAATGGTAAAGTTTCAGATTCTATGCCTGTGAATACAACATTAATGCTTGTGTATGTTACAAAGTTCTTTTGGTGGGAAGTTGGTTATTGGAATATAATGGACATTGATTCTTTAGTACGTGGAAATGGAACTTAATTTTTGGGTTAATCCATGTTTTTCAATATCATTCATTTTGGTCCTATTTATTTATTTATTTATTTATTATTTTTCTTTTTTATTAACTTTTATTTATCTTTGTTATCTGTTTTATTTTATTATTATTATATTATTTATTTTTCTTATTTTTTCATTTTCATTTTTATTTTACAATATAATAATATTTTCGACTTTAGGGATATTTTTCAACCAATCAAAGGTAAGTAATTTGAATCGAATTTTTAAATTTTAATTTTCGCCATTTAAAACATAAATTAATTGGTATCGAAAGGGTGGTTCAAGGGTGTTCATCATTCCTTGACCGTAACCGACTCCTGAACTCGATATATTTCTGGTAAAACGCAGATCAGGTAAGATGTGTCCGATCTACTTAAATGTTTTTAAAATGATCGGTGGCGACTCTAACCCAATTCATTCACATCGAAGCCTAATTTCGGACCCAACCGAAAGACAGTTTCGACAATTAGTTAACACCAAAAAATTCCTATGCCAGAAAAAAATAAAAGGAATCTTTTGGGTTATATTTATCCATTCCCGTAGATAAATTTGTCTGCTCTTTCATTTCCCATTATCACCATATTAACAGAACTCAATTTGCTTATTTCCCTTATTTTTCTTGTACCAGTAGAGCCAATTGCATAATACAACTTTCATTTTCAATTCCACAAATTTCACCAGAACCCCACCATTGGTTTTACAATATTTTGGAAAAAATTAAGGATTTTTAGTCTGATATAACTAAGACGTGCTATGATGTGTATTATCCATACTAATTACAGCCGCAGATGATTTTGTTTTTGTGGCTCAGAAAGAGAGACATGGATGTCTTTCATTCCATCAAATGAAAGCTACCAAAACCTAAAGAAAAATCCAAAAAGTCCAACAATGTCAATCACCAAAAAGTTGGGTTTATATTGGTTTTTGCTTGGATGCACCCCAGCATTCGCTTCGGTCCATTAAGCAAATTGTTGGAATCAAGTTTCAGCCTTTACTATGGCTTGGGTCCAAAAAAGTCTCATGCTTTCCCTTTAATCTTCCAAAAGCTTGATTATTAGAGATTTAATCGGACAAAACACCGATAAATTAGTTGGCACAGAAACATTGAATTAAATTGATACGTAGTCCTTAAACAAAAGACTTTTTTTAGCAAGCTTGCCTTTTTGTTCAAATTTACAGTTTCTGGTGTCTTTTTAAGCTTTGGTTTCGGCCGTGTTTTTTACTGTACATCACTTTGATTAATTTTTCATTCTTATCGGAAGCAAAACTGACCACTTGTTATTGGTGGTTGCTGTAGCTCTTAGCAAGACAGGTGTTTTGGATTCTACTTAGCAAGTGAATTTGTGTGTAATAGAATTAGTTTTTCGTTGAATGGTCTACAAATTTGATAACATGATAATGTTAATGGTTTAGGAACGTTTCTATCTGGATTAGCTATTATAGTTCAACATATTTTTAACTCTCAAACTAGGCTTCTCCTGCTTGAATTTGCAACGGGATAGCATTTACAAGCTCTTTCATTTAAAGGGTCATAATGGTTTAAGACAATAATGATGGGAGATGAGGAGAAGTGGAGTAGGGATGTCTATTGGGTATTTTTTTTTCCTGTAGGTGAGTGGAGGAAGAGGGTTTCTATATACACAAATCCTACATGCTAGTCAGAGTCCTTCTTGCCGCTTCAATTGCAGCTCTTGCAGTTAAGCGGCTCAATGTCAAAAACTCAAAGTCATCAAAACCTTCAGGTACCCAGCTTTTAAATTTCTTAGGGTTTTTTTTTCCAATTTTTAGAATCCCAGGGCATAGTCATTAAGGAAAAAAGGTGAAAGATTGCATGTTTTTTCATTGATTGATAGTTTCCAATTACTGAAACCTACTTCTTCATGGTTTACTTTAATTGCTAACCTATGGTTTTGTCTTTCTTTTTTACTTATGTGGTATTTGTGCTTGATTATGTTTTGTTAACTTGTTCTCTGATGACACTGAAACTCAGAAAATGAGGAAAACAAGAAGCACTTTAGATATCACGATGATGGCCTCAAAGGAAAAGATGTAAGTAACTAAGTATATATGTAACTTATTCGATGAAAAATATTGGCTGGTCCTTTATTAGTTATTTTCTACCAATGATTGAGATGTGATGCATTTTACAGGGCGAGGAAGAAGAGGAGGAGGAAGAAGTTAAATTGATTAGCAGCATATTTAATCGAGCTAATGATAACCTATCAGATATTGGTGATGAAGATTTTCTACCTGAGTTTGAAGATCTTCTCTCTGGGGAAATTGAATATCCATTACCTACTGACAAATATGACAGGGAAGAGAAAGACAAAATGTATGAAACCGAGATGGCAAACAATGCGAGTGAACTGGAAAGGTTGCGCAATTTAGTAAGGGAACTGGAGGAGAGGGAAGTAAAGCTCGAGGGTGAATTGCTCGAGTACTATGGTTTGAAGGAGCAGGAATCTGATATTATTGAATTACAAAGGCAGCTGAAGATCAAGACAGTTGAAATCGACATGCTGAATATTACCATAAACTCTTTGCAGGCCGAGAGGAAGAAGCTTCAAGAGGAGATTGCTCGTGGAGCTCCTGTAAAGAAGGAGCTGGAGGTGGCAAGGAACAAAATTAAGGAGCTACAAAGGCAAATTCAGCTTGATGCTAACCAAACAAAAGCTCAGTTATTGTTTCTCAAGCAACAAGTTTCTACTCTTCAATCCAAAGAGCAAGAAGCCATCAACAGTGATGCTGAG